GTTTTCGTACCCGTTCGAGTAGCCACGGTCACCACCGCGACCGCCGCCGCCGTATCCACCGCCGCCGCCGCCGTAACCGCCTCCGTAGGAAGACATGATGTGAGAGTGTGTTGTAGAGACTGGCGTCAAGGGGGAACCGATCGAGTAAGGGAGCGTGTGTCGAAGTCTGGAGACTACGAGAAGATATTAGTTGCAGTAGAGCGACTGTAAAAGTGTCGCGTGTTGTGCGATAAAAGAAGCACAAATTGTAGAGTTGCGAGTTGGGGTGAGAGGAAGTCAGAGGGCAGAGCGCGACAGGAAAAGTTGCCTTGCCTCTGTTGCGCTTGCACATTTTTTGAGACGCTAGCGCCGCTAGCACCAGGGTCTCGCCCAGTTGGGTAAGGGCGGAGCTTGCCGTTATCAGCCCGGGGAAGCCACCAAGAAAACCGAAGACCATGTCGCCACTGTGGGCCTTGCATCTGAGTGATTGCGAAGCATTTTCCATTGCGACCCGCATATTGCACGCCTAGTGCCTACTTCTCGAAGCAATGCGACAATGTGAAAGTATACCGATGACGAGACAACCCGATGCTTTTCCATCAGATAGGATACAGTCCTGTGCCCTGGTTCTCACCTTAGCCCATCACCAGCTCTGAGGCCCATGTCCCAGAACCCCTTCTCCATCTACACAGCATTAGCATATTGACCGGATGTCATCTCCAGCCTAGCACTTACATTTGTAGCGTGTATGAAGATTTTGGCCAGCTCTTCCACCCGACTCGGACTCAGTCCCTCGGCGTGCTTCTCTACCAGCTCACTGCCCCTCATCATCGCTTCCCTGTACTCTTCTGCCACATACTGCTCAATCCACTTCCAGTACTTGCTTCCCACCCTCACGGTGCTGGGATCTTCGTAGAGACGTTTGGCAATAATGCCGTAACCGATGAGACACGGCAAAAGCGCAATCTGCAGAGCAAGATAGTCTTGCGACATGCCGATGTCGAGCACATAACGGGTGTATGCCGTGGTGGCTTGATCTTCTTCTTCTTCGATGATATCGGCTTCCGATAGTCCGTACTCTTTACAGAAGTCAATGTGCAGCTTGATCTCTTCCTGGAGGGTGACGACTTGTTGCACGGAGTACCCAATGTCTCTCAGATTGCTAGATTTGTATGCAGACAGCGCGTTCGCTCTTGCAAATTGGACCTTCTCACTAGTCAGTTACTTTCTTCTATACGGGAAGTGAACATGTTTCGGCATATACTTACTAAGAAGAGGTAGTCCTGCACAAGGTAGTACATGAACTTCTTCACTGGCAATGTCCCAGCGCCCATACTCTGCACGAACTCGTGTTGGGTATATTCCTTCCACGGCTTCTGCACGTCTTCTCGGTCGAGCAGATAGCTAATAAAGTTGCCTGGCGTGAAAGGCAGCATGTACATCGAGTGGAAATGGTTGATGGGGCCGCTGCCCCCTCCCATATCGACAGCTGTCTTGATGCCTGCTTCAACGTACAGATTGGCCTTCTTGACCGCCTTGGCCATCGACATTCCCTCCGCCAGATTACACGCAATAGCCGATGCTAATGAACACCCTGTCCCATGCGTGTTCCTCGACTGCAGATACGGGCTTTCTAACATTGTGACTCCAGTCTCACCCACGAGGATGTTCAAGACGACTTCCCTCTCGCTGTCGTGCGTGCTGACTACCCGTCCGTGGGTCAATGGTAAATGGCCCCCTTTCAGTAACACCCATTTGGGTCCTAGTGACCGGACATCCTGCGCCATCGAGACGATGTCATCAACATTCTTCGGATCAGGAATATCGTACCCGGCCGTTTGGAGAAGCAAGCGAGCCTCAGGAAGGTTTGGTGTGAGAAGCGTTGTGTGAGGCAGAAGGTGTTGGATCAGGGTTTCGATGGCTGATTCGGGAAGGAGCTGTGAGCCAGATGTTGACACCATTACCTGTTCAAGTAGTAAGCACAGCACGGAGCTCGTTTTGGTTCATATAAAGCGATCTAGAATGAAATCTTAGACGTACAGGATCAACGATACTGGTATTGATCTCATGTCTCTTCAAAGCATCCGCAGCGACCATAATGGTCTCGGCAGATGCAAGCATGCCTGTATCTTATCAGCGCGTTCACAAAAACATGGTGTCTCTCTGAATGTCATCATACCTGTCTTGACCACATCCACGCCCACATCTTCACAAACAGCATCTATCTGCTTCCGCACAAAGTCCGGCGGGGTATGGTGTATGTCCTGGACGCCTAGAGTATTCTGGGCTGTCAAAGCAGTCGTAGCCGTCATAGCATAGCAGCTATGCGCTGCAATGACCTTCTGATCTGCTTCTAGTCCGCTGTTGGCGCGGCAGCATGGTTAGTGGTGTGTGGCTGATGAAGGGCGGATGCATGCACGCGTACGTACGCCCCACCCGAACTGTCCGAGCCAGCGATTACTAGAATGCGTCTGGGTGCCATTGTCGATCGAGAAGAGTATGCAGGCGTTGTTTCACTATCGTCTGGATATAACATGTAGTAAGATCCCCTACATCGTTTTCTCTAGACAACCCTGGAGCCCCACCATCCGCGAATACGCGTACGCGAGATCCACGTCATCGACTCGCACCTTTGATGCTGTCGCAGGCCGTGGAAGCTGCGCAGCCGACGCTGTGGAAGGTTGCACAAATTCGTACACCTGTGCGCGTGCTGCCTTTGACATCCTGGATGATATCCAGTGTTCTATCAATTATACCTAGGTCAGCTTTGAAGGAATCCATTTCCTAATATTGACAATTCGGTAGATCAGCGTAAGCAGAAGAAGCCTTGCCAGGCATCTTCAGTAACGTAAAAGTCTGAGCACATTGAGTCGCTTCTGTAAACAAGCAAGCATCTCATGGACCGGCCACGCTGACCTGCAGGTATCAAGCCACCATCGCCATCACGAACCCCAAGAGTACCATGTGCCTCATCGCGCAACAGAGGAAACCATTTCGATGCATCTTTCTTCTTTGCCTCTTCTAAAGCGTACTACACATCTGTGTATGATGCAGTTGGATAGCTGTAGTTCATGCACGTGTTCTTCAGGATGTTCAGCGTCCCGTTCAATCGACCAGTCTAGTGAACTAGTACATTATACTTGCGACTTCTCTCATTTGTGACACTATGTGCGAAACAGCAATAATGCTGCGATGTGTGCGCGAAGGTTTAACAAACATTTCCTCCCTCGGAGTACCACACTTCCGGCAGTTTAATCTTAACGGCTCCATTGCAACCTTGCCACAAGTCTCAGAGTTGATAGCCTCCATGATCTTGCGGAAAGACAGGAGATACACTAGTTGAGACGGTGCATAAGATCTGATAAGCCGCTGGCATTGGAGATGCGAATGTATACCCATTGCGACAGCTGGAACTTGCTTTGGGCCTTGAACAGCCACTTCGTGCAATATGCGGTCGTCAGTGTCAGGCGACTACCACAGTCCTTTGATCTGCGATACACGTTGCGTAGGCTCAAACACTTCATTGCTGTCCGCCGTGTTCGGTTTCGACACACCAACACTGTCCGTGAATGTTGGAAAAGCTGCAGCATCGTTGTTGGCATTCGCGTCCCATCCCAGAGTCTCTTCCTTATCATAGTCTACCGGCGCCCAGGCTGCGTCCTCATCCTCCGGTACGAAGAGGCTTTCCGAATCGTCACGGACAGGTTGTGCTTGCAGTGCCGAGACTTGACGAGATCCTGGATTCCGCACTCGGCCAGAGGCATCGCGTCGCGATGCTGGTTGCACAGGCGGTGGCATATTAGATCGGAAGCTGCGACTATGTCCACGCTCCGCAGTTGTGGTTGAGGTCGTGCGAGAGGTTTGTCTGCTGCTCATTGCGTGCGTCGCAGGTGTTGGCGCAGATGGAGCGGCGGTGTGGTTGCCAGAAGTCATTAGCGTAAACTCGCAGAGCAGCCCATCGCTTCCATAGCTGAACTGGAGTGGTCGCGCTGGCTGGGAGTAAAAGGCCTTTAAGCTTGTCTTCATTGTGTCTGCATGGACGACTATTGCCTTGAAATCCTTGACGTTGATGATGATGTGCATACCCGCCTGCACAGTAAATTCCTCGAAGTCAGACGTATTGACCGCGACGGCCGTGACAAGTGGATGCTTCAGGATTTCCTTTCCGTTCGAGATCTTTTCTGTGTAGCTCTTAAATACGCAGCGTCCGTCTTCACTCGCAAAGATATCGAGCATTTCGGTCTTGGTACCGAAGTATTCAGCGTACTCCTTCACAGCCCCGGAGTGCATGCTCCACCTGTTTTTCGCCGCGTTGCGATCGAACAGTGCATGCATGACGTCCACGGCTTCATATGTGAGCTTGTAGGTCTTGATGACGCCCTGGTTGCAGATCATCTTGACGATGAATCGACATTGCGCCTCAGTTTCTCGCTCTTGCACGCTGACTTCACAGCGATCGATCGCACCATCACGCCCTAGCGGGTCGTACAAACGACTTTTGAAGACCGACAAGAGCGCTTTGGTGTACATACTGCACGTGAAGCGGCCGTCAGGACCGCCATAAGTCGGCACACATTCATAGCTGGCGAAAAATTGTCGACCGTCTAATGTTATGGCGGCGTATGCGGATTTGGAAGAGTTGAGAGCGGTAAACGTGAACTGACGCAGGAGGTATGAGATGCCGGACTGACTAGAAGGAAGAGCGGCAAACCTACCTTTTCGCGACGCGCTTCAATGGCTACAGTCTCGCTGAACTTTCCGAGGCAAACAAGCAGATCGTGAACCTTAGACGCTGCCTCGGGCGTCAGGGTGAAGTTGAGGACAACCATTTTGTCTTCGTGCGACTGCTCGCATTGTCGCAGGATGTTTGTGTGGAATCGCGACGAGCCCCGGCGACCGAAAGCGGGAAGAGCGCGTCAAACACGCGCTAGCGCATTGACATCATCGCGCCTACTCTCATGGGCGCCCATCTATTCACCTTTCTTAGGAGCACGATATCAGCCCTCGTTAGTGCAAACAAAATGACTCAGTCAGCGCTGCCTGATGATATTCTGCATCTCCTATGCGAAGAGCTTGCGAATCAAGAACAGTTCGACACACTCTTCAACTGTGCTTGCGCCAGCCGTGCTCTCGCCGTACCTGCATTAACTCATCTGTACAAGTATGTCGCAGTGGCCTCGCTACTTTATCGTCAACTAACTGACACAATCGTTAGATCTCATCATCTCGCTCCTGTTCGAGGTGGAGGAGAAGATCTCTATGGCTTACCAGCTGCCACCAAGCTTCTCACGATCCAAAAATGGTACGCAACCTTTATCGTGCGAACTGTATGAGGCAAACATTGACTCCGTACACCCATATTTAGGTCCATTCTTTGGCGATCAATTGTCGCATCTGCACTCGATGTCACACTGTTCCCATACTGCCGTTATATCAAATCGCTAGACTTTCGGGATCTGGGATATCTCCTCGATGACGACCAATTCCGTGCGAAAGTTTCCAAGTCAGTACAGCTTCGATGTCAGACACCACCAACTCTGATTGTAATATAGGCAGTTCTTCTCCGGACCGTTGAAGCAGTTCGAGAAGACTGAGACAGGGACGAACATCAAAGGCAGAAAGTATACTCGGATAAAGACAGCGGATATCATCGACGCGATTGGTGAAGGTTTGATAAATGCGCGAAGCTGTTCAGTACGATACTAACGTGGTGCAGTGGTCACACAGCATACCCCAACCCTGGAGATCATCAGCGGTGAACGTAAGTACATCCTTCCTCTCAACATTCGGATATGAGCTAACTATACTAGTCCAGCCTGGTGCTCTGGTACGATGGACGCCCCGGCTTCCTCGACTACAGAGCCTTGAGCTGTGGGACGGAAAGCCGCTAGAAGACGAACTGGTTCATGCATCTATCTACGACCACTGTCCGCAGTTCAAATCTCTTATGATCTATACCTGGGTCTCAGAAGACAATGATCACAAGTTCGCCAAATTCCTCTCCTCTATGCGACCGAACACGCTCCAAACACTCCAAACCATCAGCGACGTCAAGGCCGGTGCCGAGACACTACTAGCTCTCAATCACCATGGAAACTCATTAGAAGATCTGAGACTGTGCGTTTCGAACGAGTCAATACCGCACCTCTCGCTACTACAAGGATGTACGGCTTTAAGAACGCTACGCATTGAGGACATACATGGTACTGTAGACTTAGAAGCGACAGAACATGACGTCTTCCTCGAGACGACTGCCTGGTTACGCAAATGTTCAGATCTACAACGCCTCAGCTTCTCGAAAATGCAATCCGGAGCCGCACTCATCACGCCCGTACTGCTCGAAGAGAAGATACAACTCAGCAGTCTAGAGATAGACTCGTACACGCTAAAAGATCACAAGACGTTCCATCAGGCTCTCGTACACCAGCAGTCTTCTTTGAAGGTGCTCTTCCTGAGTGGCGATACCGATGGCATGTTTCGAGATGATCTGGATACTCTCGTGGACTCTTTGAAGCAATTGACAGAGCTGCGAGATCTGCACCTTATCCTTCCGGAGGTGTTGCGGGATGAACATCTCGTCACCATTCTCGCTGAGCTCACACTACTGGAGGATTTGTACGTAAGCGGCCTGGAGCTCAACGACATTGTGCTTCCTCACCTCGCCAGCTTGCCCAATCTACGTACCGTTACCATCTCCGGTATATCCAAATTCACCATGGATGGTCTCCTGGATTTTGTATCGAGACTCGGCCCGGGTAATCAGGCCATTCGTCTCTCGATAGATATGGCAGACACAGATACGCTGCTCTCGGAAGAGGAGTTGACGCTGGTGAGGGACAACCTTGCGGAGAAGGCTGGTGGTACGTTGGAGTACATGGCGCTTCGAGGTATGTATCTATCTGCGCGATGAGCAGACGACAAACAAGATGGCATACTGACCACATTCGCCTAGATCCGAATGTTCCGGAGTTCGAAAGCGACTCCGACTGAGGCTTGTTCTTTGCACTGTTCAAGATACTGCAATTGAAGCTGGGCAATCATTCGGCTTGTCTGTTGGATAAAGGATGTGAAAGAGGTATCTGGCGAGACATGCTCAGGACTGGAATAGCTTCGCCAAGTACAATGATGAAGACAATAAGGGACTTGTTCCTCGTCCTCTCTCAACCTAGAAGAAAAACATAACTGAACTTTTTGAAAGCAAAACAAGTGAACCAGAAGAACAACCCGATGAGCCATGACATACTCAGTCCATGTCAGTATCGCTATCTTCTTGACTCTGATCAATGCATTTCTTCAGCGCCAGAATCCTCCGCTCGTAAACGTCTCGCTGCAAGTCTGGGAAGTGTTGCAGCAGCTCAATGAAGCTCGACCTCAAGTGGTCATCCCTGAGGTATGGCCACCAGTTTTCCGCAATGTATACGGCCAAATGTTCCTTGAGATATTCATGGGAGATTGATGTTGTATCCTGTGCGAAAACATGTCGACAGAACACCAATATCTCCAATTTCCCCGGCTTTATACCCTTCAGCTTCTCAGCGACATGTTCCAGCATGTCCCACATACCCAGAATCTCCGCGGTGATCCACGCCGCAACACATTGTGCAAAGGCTTCGTTCGCTTCCTCACCCTCTTGCGGGTTCCGATGACCAAATCCATCACTTTCTAGGTATTCTGCGATAAATGTGAAGTCTTCGGGGTTAATGTCGACAAGAGCAGGGTGTTTGAGCTCCCACATCCCGGCGTCATTGTGGTCGATCAGGAGGAGGCCCTGCTTGGAGTCTCTGAAGTATGGACGGTCCCACAGACACGATATTTGCAGGTTATAGACTTCTTGGTCAGGCCCGACCAATACTTGTACGAATTCCTTGCTTTCTGAGCTAGATTCTGTTAGCTGAGAGGGTATGAGAGATTGATAGGAAACTCACAGCTCGCCCTCGATGGTATCGCTGATTGGTTCTTTCCGACCACGTCCCACGCCACCGAGCTGATGGTCGAGGAAGCCTACCTGTTGAAAGTGTCTCTGTCTCGATTCGGCCGTTCTTACCTCAGTCGAGTTATGGGCGCTGCTGTCGTCCGTTAGGTCTATTGGTGTGTCTCTGCGTATATTCAACCGATCTTGTGGGGATGGTACGGCTTGAAGTTGTCCATGGTCTCTTGAGGGCTGCGATGAGCTGGCGGCAGGTCTCGACGGTGCTTCCCATGCATTCAAGATCGTATCTGGAGCTCTGCTGGAGCCGGGGATGACAGAAACGCGACGATTGGCTGGGAACCGCGCAGGTTTTGATGGCGACTGTGATGAAGTCGGTGGATGTGAGAAGCTGTTCGCAATTCGCCCTTTCGACCGATTACCATAGAATTCTTTGCGGCTCTGCCGGAGAGCCTGTCTCATTTCTGGATCTGAGTCTGAATCATCGCCCGAGTCGTTCATGTTAGTGTCCGAGCCTGAAGCCTCGTTGGCTCGATTCATCAGTTGCTTTCGCCATTGATCAATGCCCATATGCTCATCAAGTGCTTTGCTCGCCATCTCATATGCATCACCAAGTCCTGGCGTGATTTCGATAACCTCTTCGTGCGTGTAGGGCGTGAAAGGGTCGTACTCCCTCATGTCTGTGGCATGCGCCCAGCGACTTGTCGAGTTAGCAGGGTCAAGACATTGTTCAAGCTTCAAGTTTCTTACAAGACCAGATCCTCGCCCATCAGTAAGACCAGAGTTGATTTCCCATGTGGACGAGTTCCCAACACGTCCCCCGGTGCCATATTGTCGTCGCAAATGACCGCCGGCCATAGCGGGAAGAATGAACCAGGAGTCCTATACTGCACCATATCGCCTGGCGATAGCCGCATCGTGATGGCCTTGATTATGTGATGTGGGGTCGTTTGTTTGGGGAGTGACAGATAGGAATGAGAGCTGGTGAGCGACAGTTGTGTGACAGCTGTAGATCGAATTTCAACCTATTGGGAGGAGGAAGAATTGAGCAGTGTTGTATGTGAGCGTCAAAACGAAGCCTGACATAACTAGACATCGTGTGGATACGTTCCCAGGGTAAAGGTGGGCTTCGGTGAGGGCCATCATGCCAGGTAAAAGACGAAAACAGACCCCCACGCGCGAAAAGTCACTTTCAACCGATTTCAGACCGACACATGATGAGGCTGAGACTTATGAGTCGTGTGCAACTATTTGGAAGTCGTGGATATTGTTTTGGTCAAGTAGTAGAAAGGGATGCGGAGTTCATAGCTCACACCTCGGAGGTTGACTAAGCTGCCCGCAACAGCGCCCGGGCGAAGCCAAGGACATCTGGCTTCAACATCTGGACCACGAATTCCCCGACGCGCAAGTCGCCGCGCCGCCCACCTCTACACATACCCCCCGAATACGTCTGCGGTGAATTCATACTCTCTGGACGCGAGTTTACGACCCGGTCGCGCGCCCCACGTCCCACTTTACAATCAACGAGCGCACCTCTACCTCCGACCTTCGCATCAGCATACCCAATCCGCAGCCATGTTGGGCCTTGCGAATATGCAGCCGCGGCAACTCGCCGCACAAGTCCTGAACTTCGCGCTCGTCCTGTCAACCGCCTTCATGATGTGGAAAGGACTGTCCGTGGTCTCCGACTCGCCCTCGCCCATTGTCGTCGTTCTGTCAGGATCCATGGAGCCTGCATTCCAACGAGGAGATCTGCTGTTCCTGTGGAACCGGGGGGCAGATACACAAGTGGGCGAGATTGTTGTGTACAACGTCAAGGGCAAAGACATCCCGATCGTGCATCGCGTTGTAAGGAGATATGGAGGAGGGTGAGTTGCGCTCCTTCCCTTTCGCTGTGACTGAGGCTCTCAATGAGGGTTGGAGGAGTCAAGATCAGCTCGCAGGTTTTCAGACGTTACTACAAAGCTCATGCTGACCCAACTACTAGCAAAACACCCCTCCGCCTCCTGACCAAGGGCGACAACAACCTCGCGGACGACACCGAACTCTACGCCGCCGGCCAATCTTTCCTGAATCGCAAAGAAGATGTCATCGGAAGCGTCGTCGGCTTCATACCATTCGTTGGATACGTTACCATCCTGTTGAGCGAGCATCCATGGCTGAAGCAGGTCATGTTAGGCATGATGGGTGTGATGGTGGTTTTACAAAGAGAGTAGTCCTTGCGCATTCGCATAGGGTGCTTTTCACGTCAATGGATATCTTTCCAAAAGGTGGGAGAAAGAGATGGGTGGTAACGATGTGGTTGGACTGCTCCGTACCTACCCCGATCTATGTGTTTCTGCTGTCAGGAGGCGGCAAAGCTAGGCGTTCAAATCATACCCAGACAATGTTCAATATTTACTAAAGTCGAAGAGTTATACCAGCCATCCAGCGTTCATCCAGCTACGTTCTCTAGACCGTAGACCAGCGCCTCACGCGCATCTTGCATTCATCAGTGAGCATACCTAAGCACACTCCAGGGCTTTATTTCCCAACAAGAGAGTAATCGCCTGCACCTTCCCAATGCCTGCCAAAATGACATCACCTACCTTCCTTCTACATCACTAAGACTTCACTCCCACGCGACACCCCCGGCAAAAAACACACCCCACCTTTCGTGGAAGAGCGGCAAAAAGGAAGCAATGCGCCGTACGGGGTTTGACTAATTGATTGTTAGCTCTACGATTCGAATTGAGGCATTGTTGGTATTTCATACACCCGTGATCCCCGCCTTGTTTGTCGTCCGATGTACGATGGGAAGGCGATAGCATACCACTAGCCCAACGGCGCTTTGATGCACTGATTGATTGATGAATTAGGAACGAATTAGAGACATTATATAGGCGGCTTGAGATAGAGTGAGTGGATTGAGGGGGTGGGGTTCGTGAAAGTGTGGTTGTGAAGCCAGGGAAACAACCCCTACCGTGAATGCGGGCACCCGGTTCGGCGGTGTGAGGAAACGTCAAAGACCTGTCGCTAGAGGGCCAACTTCCGGTTGCTACGAACGGAAGGGTCTATCACGCCGTCATGGCCTACTTTTGACAGCAGGCAAGACACAAACTTCAACGTCAGGGACTGAGCTGGGACCTGAGCTACCATCAGCATGCGTAGTGCTACGCCCAAGCCTGATCGCATCAACATCACGGTCACACAGCAGAGGAAACATTGTAGAAGCAGCAAAGACTTTCCATACCGCAATTGCTAGTGTACATAGACTTGGTCATGAGCTTCGTGATGTTCCTTTCACGACGTCGAGGGGAAGACGCCCAAACATCATGACCGCCCGCCATCAGCGTGGTTTGCACTGACCGCCAGCGTCCTTTTCGAAATGAACCACAGATTGGCTAGCCGAAGACCTTCCTCCGCGAGAGATAACGAACCCATTAAGAAGTAGGAAGATCACAAATGAAATCGAGACAGGCTTGGTAGCCTAGCCGCCCATGACAAGACATCTTCAACGCTGTTGATGGAAGCACGAATGAGGCGATAGCCTCTACTCGGACTCCTCTTCTTCTTCCTCGGCGTTCTGGTGGTGGTTAGTCAAGTCATCATCAATTTGAAGTGCATACATCAACATACCTGGTAGGCGGCCTTCTCCTCCTCATAGCGCTTCTTGTCGGCAGCAGCCTTAGCCTCGTAAGGAGTGCGCTGCTTTTCGTTCAGGGCCTTCCACTTCTCGCCAAGAACCTTGCCGACCTCGCCTGTTGAATGTTAGAGGGGAGTCAAAGATGGAGAAAGAGCGCAAACGTACCGAACTTGATACCGGGGTTGTCCTCACGGACCTTCTCGCGCTGCTCGTTGGCGAAGAACATGTATGCGGAAAGACCACGCTTGGGCGCGTTGGGGTCTGCTGGAGTCAGTACCCGAGTCTGCAGATGCACGTGAGCTGCTTACCCTTCTTCTTCTTGCCGCCGTCAGCCTTGGACTTAGGCGCGGCCTTGCGGGTGGTCTTCTCCTTGGGCATAGTGGTGGTTGAGTGGTGTATATGGCTGTGGTTCCTTGTTAGCTGCTGTTGGGGTTGCAAGCAGCGAGTAGGTAAGAGTAGCGTGACAGGAAGGCACAATGGCTGCTGGTGAGATTGAGAATGCGAGTATAGGCCACAGCTAGTGTCTTCGCCTGCAAACGGAGTAGTGTTGTGGTGAGTGGGTAATGGTGGTGCAGCGCTGCTATGCGCGTGAGGTGACGCGGTCGCAAAACACCACAACACAACGCGATGATGCGCGATTTTCGGGTAAGAGAAGGTGTGGGTACTTACAGAAGCAGCTAGATGGGAGTAAATTGGAAGTGTTGACTGAGGTCTGTTTTGCGGTCAGTATGCGCGTGGCAGTGGGTGCTGGCGACGGCGATGAAGAATCGACTGAAGGCAATGACGTTCAGAAGACGGAAGAAAGAAGGCTGGGAGAGTCCTGGTTGGGCCAATTGGACCGGGGAAACGCGTGGAAAAAGGGTGTGGTTGCGAAAAGTGGTGCTGGTGATGTTGCGACTTCGTCAAAATGCAGGCGGACTCACCAAACGTCTTTGCGGGCGAAAGTTGTATGGGCGGCGGATTTGTTAGGGGAGGAATTGGGTGAGGGCTCAGCAGCACATTTTGTGAGAGGGAAGGCGCGCCCTCCCCCAACAAACAAGGCCCGCTTACCTAAGGTGCGAACGAGGCAGGCACGCTTGTTTTGCTACTGCCATAGCACACGCACCCGGACCACGACCCCTCCTCCACCCAGCCGATGCTGCGCTCCCTCACCGCATGCGCCCGATGCAGATGCCAGCGATTGTGGACAGCTCCATTGTCGCTTTTTTGCTACTCGCACTGCCGTCCAGTCTCTAGCAGACGTGTCGGTGTCGCCCAGGTATGCTCCGAGGTGCTCGCACTGCTGCGGGCTACACGGCGCATCCCTGGGCGCGGAGGCGCTGCCCTTCGTTCTTTCCTGGCGAGTTTCAAGTTTGGTTAGATTGCACGCAGAAGCACACGGTCTACCATTCGTTGGACGCATCCATCAGAAGCGGCCCTTGACGTTATCATTCATAGCGCGGCTGGCTGATGTTCTTCCCCGAGCACCAGAGCACCCAGCATCCAGTCCCCGTCGCCCAACCTGCCCACCCCTCAGAGCATCCGCCTGCAGCCCGTTTGGTGTTCTGAGCAAGCCCAGTGCAGCAGAGTTACATGTCAGCCTACGTCTGGTCGCAGACTCTGCCGCACAAGCCGTGACTCTGGCCTTCTGTCATAGCTGGGCACGCTATGGTGATGGGCGGCGGCCTCTGCACCCGCTTCCGGCCACAGCGGTCTGGCTCTGCACTTTCGCCCGTCCGAGCACGGAAGCGGTCGCTAGGCTAATGCGAGACACTGCTCCAATACTGCTCGTCCACTTGCCTCAAGAAACACTCTTTGTTCCTCCTGGCTGCTTATCACGTTGGAATCGTGGCGGACGTGTTCGGCCATCGGCCTCTCAAGCCCCTAACAGCGGAGCAGACGCTCAGACTCGCCCTTTCAAAAGCCACCGAGGGCTACAGACTTTCGCGTACCCTCCCGACGTGACCCATAGCTGCCAGGCCCTCATCTTACTTGAGAAGTTACGTTTGCATCTATGTAGATAGGACGCACGACGTTGGGCATCACCGCTCTCGCATCAGCCATGACGTTTATCATCAACAAACATCACGAAGCGCAAGATCGTGCAGCAGCATGCGACCACCTCAACAAGTCATTAAATGTGTACATACGGCTGCTCTCAGATACACCTCGCATCCATCCATAGTCGCAGCAGCAGACGAAAAGGTGGATGGTACTCAATCGTCCTCATCCTCCATGACGAGCTCCGTCAGACCCTCGTCCGCAGCCCAGTTGATCCCGCTACCCACGATCATGGCTGATAATATACCTTTCAACGTCCTCACCCTCCGTCGCGAGTCTTTGAGCTCCTTATCGACCGCATCGACACGTTGACGTAATTGCGGATCTTCAATGTCCTGCACCGACTGCGCCTTCATTTCTTCGGCCAGAGCAAGCATGGTTTGCGCCAGCTCTCGGTTCTTTTGATTTGCAACAATGTTGTTCTGTTCGGCCACACTCAGAGATTTATTCGTAGAAGCAAGCTTCGACGTCAGTGAGCCATGGATCATGGAAACAGCATCGTTCTCGGTCACCAGCGGCAGTATGCGCCTACACAACATCAGACCATGATTCAGAGCGATCTGCCCAGGAACTCACTTCTCGGCGAATGGAGTCTGTTCGCCGCCATGAACGGCTTTCAGAACGGGATCCATTACTAGAACATTGTGTGTGATTTTGTTCCTTATCTCGTACTCTGCCCTCGCTTCCATAGCCTCGCGCTGCGCAATAGTCAGGCGCTCCTCCAGCAGGTCATCTGGAAGTGATGCAAAGTCATGCGCGTGTACTACAGAAGGCGATTAATATACGAAGATGCTGTGCCATACCATGTGCGAGACGTGCCTGATTGTTGTGCTTGTAGCAGGCTTTGCTGCAGCTCAAGTTCCTTGAGCTGATCGTAGAGCTGTAGGGCTAGCTCCTCGGTATCTGAAAACGCGAACGCGTCGCTATGGTTTGTTTGCAGCAAGTCCGCGTAGTCGTTTGGATCTTGTGTTTTGGCCGTCGCGTCTGCCATGTCAACATCGCCTTTGGCCGCCATAATGCTTGCAGACGGTGTTGACGTAGATTCAAGTTTGCGACCGAGACCGTGTTCACCTGACGGCACGCGATGGTTCCTCTAGGTGACTGCTATGATGCAGCCTCGCGGGGCCCATGCGCCGATCCCTGCATTAACCCTCCTTGGCGGTATCTGGTACGCATGTGCTCACGCCTCAACTTTCCAAGCCTCGAATCCGCTCTCGCACGGTTTCGACACAACTCCACCAAGCGGAGGGCAAGGCCGAATGTCGCTACAGATCGCTGTAGCTCATACGGGCCAGCGCCTCGACGCTGATCCCGTCGCCTTTACTACAGTCGATGCGCTCAAGCACTGGATCTCGAAGGCAACGGAGATAGCGCCCGAGCAACAGGTCTTACTCACAACACAGGGCAAACACGTCAAGCTCCAAGCGCTCTTAACTGAGGTACGCGTCTACTGTGGGATTTGTAGGACACACACTAATACCTGTGCCACAGAAAGAGATATTCGTCTTCAGTCGCGAACTCTCCAACAACCCGCAGGCTGCCATATCCTCCACACCACTGCCCGATGCCTTCCAACCCGACGATGCCCCGAACCACCTTGCGAAGAACACCGACCTCGGAGCATGGCAGGCCCTCTTCCAGGCCCGCCGCGACTGGGCCTTTGGCCTGCTCGAAAGGTCGCTCGCCATGTCCCAGATCGCCTCGAAGCACTTTGCCGAACAAGCCACCATCGAGAGAGCAACCCAGGTCGCCGTCGGGAATCACGATGCGCACATCAAGGGCTTGGACCAGAAGTACAAGGCAGCGAGGGAATGGTACGATGGGGTCGAGAAGGAAGCCGGGGACAACATCCGGCGGCTTGACGCCGACTTTGAGCAGCTGGGAACGGTGCCTGCTACCTTGAACTTCGCGCGCTTCTTGGCCAAGGAGATGAGATCTCCCCAGAGCATTCCCAGTAGTACTCTTGTCCGCAAGACCCTCCAAGAGTTCCTCGACGTCGAAGCGATCAAAAAGGCTACATCAACAAGCAAGCGCGTTCGGGAGGCTTTTGGCAAACACATGGACAAGATGCGCATGCAGCTAGAGAATATCGAGACAGATTACAACCAACTCCTGAGCGCCGTCGGCCAAAGCCAGAGCCGTTCCATGGCTGATGATTCCGAAGAGCCCACGCGCCTGTACAACGAGATCGATGCCGTCGTTAAGAAGGTCGAGTCGGACTTTGAACACGTCATGGGGCTAGAAGCAAACCCGAAGTCGGTCGCGCAGGTGTCCAAAATGGCCTTGCTTCATACGCGAAACTTTCTACCGGCCATACAAGAATACAGCGTGGAGATGAGCGATCTCGTGCGACGGGCGGTGGAGCAGAAGAACGCTGCCATCAGGAACTCGGTCGAGAGCATGCAGGGTATCGCAAATATCGAATCGGTCATTGCGAGCGTCGGTGCGCAACTTGAGCAGATCAGTATCCCAGACGATGGTGTCGCTGCCTTTGAGCTCATTTCCCTCGTCGGTCGGCTGCCTTATGTATACGGTACACTGCTAGTCGAAGCCGTCCGAAGACGGGAGTGGACAGAAAGGATGGAGAAGGATACATCCTCGCTTGCTGAGGAAATGGCAACTTTTCAGGAAGAGGAAGAGCGTCGGCGCAAGCGATGGCTGAAGCCAATATCAGATGTTGTAAACCTCGAAGCCTTGCAAGGTGGCTCATTAGGATTCGAGCTGAATGTGCAACCTGAAAAGACCGTCTGGCCGATGGTCACTCGAGAAGAGCTCCAAGATTACCTCCAGGACTTGCAGAGACTGGATGGACAGCAATCGGAAGCCGAATTATTTGCCCAAGCTATTAAGGATCTTGACCGACCTACAAAGCAGCAGATCAAACGCGCGAAGAACTTCAAGATGGGTAGTGTTCATGAGCCAGCTTTCGGCAGAGGCTCTCAGCTCATGATGCGAGGCGATGATGAGTTACGTGTACTCAAAGAGGGCAATGCAAAGCTCGAGGAGGAGCTGAAAGGCTACAGGAGCCGGGTGCGACGATTGGAGGATCTGGTACATCGCCAGAGTACGGCCAACAGACTCTCAATAGGTGGCGCGCCTCCCTCATTCGGTATACCTGACCCAACCGACCCCGCGACGCCAACAGCAGAAGTCGCTTCACCGAGGCCACAAGAAGAGCTATCCCGTCGCTCTTCGATCTCTTCCAGGCGCTACTCGGCGAATACAGGACAAGAAGACAAGCGTCGTATTCTTCGCCTTGAACAACAGCTCGCGGCGGAGAAAGAGGCTCGTGCCAAACTTGAGAGCGATGCGCAAGCACGGAGAGACGATGATGCAGATCAGCAACGCCAGTTTGAGGAGGCCATGTCAACCAAGAACAACATCATGGAAAACATGCGAGCGCAACAAAAAGAATTTGCCGACGAACGCAAATCGCTCGAAGACGAGATCCGCGCATGCAAGGCCAAGATCGAAGAAGCCGAAGATGAACTTGATCGCGTCCTAGGCAGTCGGGATAATGAGCGAACAGGTGTAGATGCTAGAGTCCAGGAGCTGGTTTCGCAACTCGAAACAACCCGCAAAGATGCTGCCGAACAGAGTAAACAAGCAGATAAGCGCATCGAAGCTCTTCAAGCGGAGCTCCGTGAGCGCTCAGCAGTCAAGACGCAGGAGTTTGACTCGCTGACAGCAACCTTCAACCACCTGTCGCCAGGTACCAACGTACCGGACGATCACGCTATGCTTGTCGCACAACTTGAAGATCTTGCAGCGCGATCACTCAACCACCAAAAAGAGCTAGAACAGGCTGTGGCGATGGCAAAGTCAGACAACGAAAATGCCCATGCTAGGATCGAAGAGCAAGAACAAGACTTCAACACCAAGCTTGCCGAACACGAGAAGGAAGTTGCAGCTGTCCGCGAAGAGCTTGACGTGGAGAAGGCCCGTGTCACTTCTATCACTGCAGAACTTGAGGAGGAACGAGAGCATCTACATAGCCTCCGCGCCAAGTTCGCTGAAGGCGAGACCGGCTCCGAAGCTCTCAGGAAGCGCGTTGAGGAGGAAGAGGCCAAGGTTGGTCGTCTTCAAACCGAGCTCGCAGAAAAGAGCTCGCACGCCAACAGCCTCGATGTCGAGCTTATGCGCGTAGAGAAGAAACTCCGCAAGCTTGAGGAAGCGGACTCGTCCCGTACCCACCAACGTATGCATCGGGCGAAGGACCTTAGTGAACGGCTATACACGCAGCATGAGCGTCTGATCCGTCTAGTCGAGACACTTGGATTCGTCATCACTCATGAGAACGGTGAAATGATCCTCCAGCGAGCGTCTAGACTTGGGAATAGCACCATTATGACAGACACTAGTGCAGGACTTAGTCGAAGTACAACAACGCCCTCGCCCACTCCACTCAAGCGTTTCTTGGAAGACGTCGGAGATCTTCACTTCCTTCAATGGACCGAATCTACAAGCCCAGATGAAGAAGATCAGCGGTATCAGGAACTTATTCAGAAGCTCGAGCTCTTCAACACCGAAACCTTTAGCGACGCTGTTGCGAAGCGGATGCGTGACATGGAGCACACAGCACGAAAGTGGCAGAAAGAAGCCCGAGCATATCGCGACAAGGCCCATCGCTTCCAGGCTGACTCGCACGACAAGATCGCCTATCGCTCCTTCAAGGAAGGCGACCTTGCACTCTTCTTGCCGACCCGCAACAATGCGCATCGCCCTTGGGCTGCCTTCAACGTTGGTGCACCACATTTCTTCCTTCGTGAGCAAGACACCCATAGATTGGGTGGGAAAGAGTGGCTTGTGGCGCGCATTTCAAAGGTGGAGGAGCGCGTCGTCGACCTTTCCAAGACGATGGATGGTGCAACTCGAGCATCATTAGATGGTCGATCTGTCGCCTCTAGCAATGCCATTTCATTCGAAGACGACAATCCTTTCGATCTATCTGATGGGCTAAGATGGTACTTACTGGAGGCGACTGAAGAGAAGGCGATGGCTCCGGGCACCCCAGGTATCAAAGGTGCAGTCACAGTGAAGAGCAGCCTAGAAACCGGATTGGGCGAGATGCAGAAAGCGAAGAAGAAGTCCTCCATGGACCCGGCAACTCAACTTGGGAAGTCACTCGACAGTCGCCGCAGCAGCGGAACAAGCAAGAAGAGTGCGCCCCTAGTCGGCCGTCATAATTCGGCTGAAGCGCTGTCGCCAGCTGAACGGCCTGACTCGAATCCAAATTCTGCGACAGCAACACGGGGCGCGAGTCCAGCTGGCACACATGGTCCTAGCCATCTCAGGGAGTCATCAACGAATGGCGTAGACAAGTCTGCGGACGATGGGAATGGAGGCAATGTGCGCGACCTACTATGGGGACCTTAGGTTTTCGCTTTCTGTAAATCTAAGCTCCCCGAACCATGACCTTTGCTTACATCGCTAACACTACGCAGTCATCCATCGCCCAGCTCCATTCCCTCCGCAAGACCTCCATATCAGGCCCATCGAATACACGATCGGATACATCTCCCGTCAAAAGCAGACTAGGAAGTCAAGGCGATCTGAGAAGTCCTCTTAGTGACTCTCGAAAGTCGCCGCTCGCAAGGAAGGGAAGCATATGGGATTCGTTCTTTCAGTACGACATCGAATATCAGGGCAAAGCATCGAAGAAATAGACTTTTTTTGGAAGCGGTCGGAGAAACGCTTGTCTATACCATCCTGAGTGCGAGTATAATCGCATTCGCTGAACATATCGGCTAGTTCATTGTACATTATATAGGATCGCATGCATGATTACAGAAGGAGCAGACTTGCTGAGGTATATGCTCTGATACCACACCATATGATAGATATATAACTACTATTCAGTTCGCACCTTGACACTCCATTAGGAAGGCTGAGGAATATTACACGCTATAGCACCTCCAGGTCTTTCCCCGTCTTTCGTGGTGGTTGTTGATCACACGCCCGGGTGCCGCATGTTTTCGGATCTCGGCTCAGGCGTTCTTTTGTAGTGTATTTTAA